ACGAATCGACTGCATTAGTAAAATATCGTAATAACTTCGAGAATAATAAACATTAGAGCCGAAAATGAATCATTGAGGTATCAGAAGAGATTGACGAACAATGTAAATATATCTTTTTTTGTAAATCTTATTATAAATCTTCGCAGCATTCATTCTACAAACTGTTGATTAGAAAATCTTTCTTATATACTTCTCTCAAACATAAGTCATGAATAATAAATTTCAAAAAGAATTAATCTCTAATTTAAAATATATCGATTGGAATAAGTCTGTTCGTTATTGGATAAATATTCTTATACAAATAACATAAAATGTAAATTTATTTTTAGCTAATTCCACTACATCAATAGATCGAGATCAGATACGTGAAAAAGTACTTGCTCATCTTATTTCAATGACTGTACAACTCAAATATCTTTTTGTTGAACGATTCGAATGGCTTTTACATGTTGTTGAATACGTAAGGATTTCTTTTTTACTTTGTAGTCTTTTTTTAAGTTCTCGAACATTTTTTTTCTCATGCATAATTCATTTCAATATTATATATTGTGCCGAAGTTATGTATACTTTTTGTTGAATTTATTTTCCATGATTTAATTAAACATCAATTATCAAGAGATAATTATTATCATGTTAAATCACATAGTTAAAGTTGATTTTTAAGTTCAACAATATTTATAACTATATTTATTGATAAATATTTTGAAAAGTGAATAAATTCTTAAGAACAGAAATCTGTTATTTTGCTAATGCTTTTTTAGTTTTCATTCAAGTCAATGTCGTGGGTATCCAACAGAAATCCACTGAGAAACATGGGAAAATGGTAGGAACTTAGAAGCAAAAATCTGATGATCAAATCAAGTAATCAGATTCTTCTAGTTTCGACCGGAAACGATTGTAACTGAAAAAAGCCAGCCGTCGGATCTAGTCAGCGGTTTGATGCTTCCAACTTCTTACCAATATTCTGAATTCGGCGGCAGAAAACAGTCTATATTTCTTGACAGGAGAATTGAAAGATGTGGAAGTATGGAATCGATTGTTGATTTTTAGAACGAATGCAAAGCGATCTATCCATTAGCATCTGTGGACTAAGCCGAGTCAGAACTAGAAGACAACGTGAGCATGTATATTTTGAAATTGGATTTAGATGAGATCGATTTTTCAGAAGCGAATCAACCCAATTTTAAAAAGTTCAAACTATATCGATTTCGGTTTACGAGGAAACATTCTCAAGTGATGATTCGTGCCGTTCAAGCTCATATCTTGTTGGTAGCTAGAATTGATCATATATACAAATTATCTAAGAGAATTCGTGTCCTTACTTTTCGGTATCAAAGTTACGAGCAGAACAAGTATTATGGTAGATGACGCCATCTTCTCTGTCTTAGTATTCTTCTTTTTTTTGTTGAACATTCGATTGCCAGCTTATCTTGTTTATGTTTATTCATCTTAAAATTCTCGGAAGAATCTAACCGACTTCAAGAAATATATCATTTGTGGTGTCTATTTTTGGATAATCGCTTTTATTTGTTTCATTTACGAACACTTTCAAGATTTCTTTGCATTCTTCTTTAACTTTAATTTAAAGAAAAAAAATTAAAATAAAAAAACACTTATACTAGTTTTATTAAAAAAATAAATGAAAAAGTCTACAAGAAACACAATTAAAATTTAATGAACGTTCGAGAAAAGACACTGATCAAAGTCTATTGATGATGACATTTTGTGGAAAAAATGACCAAAACAAAGCTCCTACATTCAAGTAAACAATTTAAAAAACTGAATTTGAGACCACAAGACAGTTCTATTCCGTCGAGTGTAAAGAAAAATATTTTATGTTTTCTTTGAGAATATGTAGGTGGAGTATGTTTATAATAAAACAATGCACAAAAGAACTTCCCTTTCCTATCGTTTGAACACAAAGTCAGATTAACCGAGAATTTTAATGATGAATAAACATAAATAAGATAAGCTAGTAATCGAATGTTCAATCGAGAAAGCGTTCATATTAGTTAAGATACAAAAAAAAACAGATTTTTCTTTATTTATACATATAAAACAAACAAAAAAAAGAGAATTTGAAAAAATCAATACAGACAAGAACAAAAAACTTTAATTGGATAGAATGATATGATCAAATCATGTCTATTTTGTTTGTGAAATTATGAAGAAAAGTAGAAAGATAATCAATAAATATCTTATGTTTTTCTCTTGTAAATCAAATTGTTTGATTGTTTTGAGGTTTTTTTGCTAAAATTGAATTTTTGATCAAAAGATTTCATTTTAGTTATCTCGAATTACAAAATAAAAAACATCAAAGACTATACATTTTTGAGTTTTTATCAAGATTTAAGTAAATAATCAGTAAATACTACTCAATATCAGAAAATAGATAATATCAATATGATCTCAATATTTTCGTCTTGTGTTTAAAAAACTATTTTCTGATTTCAGTTCTCGAGATTATTACAAAAGAAAATACAAACTTTCGTTACGTATATCGAGAAACTAAGAAAGAAGCAAAGCCTAAACTTCTACTCGAGCGAATATCAAATAGAAAAGGCATTTGATTGTATGAAGTACAATATTCGATACATTTTCTTCTTTGTTTTTCAGTCGTCATGTGGAAAAACCTTCTTAGACATGGAAGACTTCACTATGAATTATTTCAATGAGAAAAGAACATAATTAAAATAAACATTGTAGATATGAATAATCTCTCAAAAATTGAATTATATACCATCATATAAGAAAATTCTAAGCTGTTAATTATGTGTCGAATAGAAGATGAAGAAAAAAAATTTGTCATGATAATTTAGTAACTAAAAAGACATCAATCAACTAGTGTATTTCATGTAGTCAGTTGTATCATTCGTTCTTTATTCTTGTATCCATCTTCACAATTTTCATGAAATTGTCAAATTCGAAAATTTTCGTTTTTCATTATCAATAGATGTATATATTTACATTAGGGGATTCTATTGGATCTTTATTATATTTGAATAAACGATGAATAATGAATTTCATATGAAGAATGAAATCTCTTTTCAAACTTTAGTTCAATAACGATGTCTAATAGCTTTCAAATGAAATAATTCACTTGTAAAGATATATTATTTTATCAATTGCCTCATTGATATTTAAAGAAAAATATTAAGTCAAATTGAAATTTGAGTCAATATTTTTACAACTTTTAAACTTATTTTAGTAGAAAATCTTTAATCTTGAGATTGCATTAGTTGGTTTTCCCAAGCTCATCAAAGTACTTGATACGAGAATCGAATTCAGACTTATTTTAAGTGCGAATCGTTTTTGTTTTTCCTGTCGCATCAACTTATATGTATTAATAAGATAATATTATGGAATTGATTTATGAAATTAAGAACTTAAAGAGTAACAGCTTGAAAAAGAAAAAAATATACACATAATGTAATCATAATGACAACACTTTTGATCATCTGGCTTGTATTTGAGATAAAAAATGCCCATTTTTAAAGGAAGCAGACATATCAAAAACAAATATTCTTCGAATCTATTTTCTACATGAAATTATATATCAATATTTGGAAACAAAAGAACGAACATATTGAGTAATTTTATTCTTTTTTTAAGCAAAACTGAACAAAATTTACTCAAGTCATGCCAATTCATGCTTGACTTGATTGGTTTTTTCCATAGAAGATCTTATTTAACGATTCTTTACTCACATAGATCAAAGGAAGATGGTCAAGTCGAGTGTGACTTGGTCGAACTTGGATCAATTTTCGTTCAGCTCTGTTTTTAAGTCATAACAATAACTGTCTCTAATTTATTCAGAGATTAAAAAAAGAAAAGAAAATATTAATGAAAATCTAAAGTAAAAAAAAAAAAAATTCGAAAACTACTTAAAAATACGAGAAATAAAATCAATTGAATAATCGAGACAGATTGAATCTAGTTAATTCAGGAAGATCCATAATGTGATTTCTTGATATTAGTATTACATCGTTATTCGAACATTGGATAAGCAATTTAGGAACACTAGTGGAGAGTGATTGTCATTAGTATCGTTGTTTTCTATCATTTAAATATCTTTGGTTTAATTAGATAAATTAATTCAAATAGTTTAATATGATTTATTATTATTTTTTCATTGTTTTTTTTTTCTCTTTAGGCATCTGACGTGCTGAGAACGAATGCATTAAGTACTGTTCAATATGCTGAATTTTGTTTTCCGAGTATTCACTATACTGGCGACAAAAAAATCTGTGATGGCAGACAATTTGTGCCTTTTCTAAGAAAATATATGCCTCATTTACAAACATTACGTCTTTGGCGACCAGATGATTTTCCTTGGACATCTAGTAAGTTTATTATAAACAAAGAAATCTCTTACTAATCTAAGATAAATATTATTCTGTTTTTTTGTTTTCTTATTATTAGATTTCATTTTGTCCTTTATTAGTTAAGCAGATATTTTTATAACGATGTATAGTTCAACTTAAATGAAAAAAATATTCGTTTTGTTTTTTTTGTTTTTGTATCACTTCTGTTTAAGTCTTATCTAGTTTCACTAAATTAGGATTGATAATTATGAAATATAGATTTGACATTTGAGAAGTGACATCTAATGTTTTGACAACTTTAATTTTATTTTTGAAATTATTTTAAACTTCAAACAATGATTAGAGTTTTTGAATAGATTTATTTTCTTTTTTTTACAACTGAACTTGATAAAAGAATTGTATCTTACACATTCATCATGGATTAATTATGGAAACATTGAATAAACATGTTTAAAAGAATAAAAATTATTTGAGTTGACAAATTTCCTATAGAAATTTTTTAATTTATTCATTTAACTATCTTCGATAGTGATTTTGAATTTATAAAGAAAAGAACTAGATAAATATATACTCATAATTTCCAATAATTCGGCTGATTTATTGCTTTTTACTTGCTTAGTTGCCATGGGAAATTCTTCTTCTCAACATATGAGTCATGATTCAAATCAATCATTCGTTCTCAGCCTCTGAATATTGTTTTCAGTCGAAAAACAAGATAGAAATGATCTTGAGAATATGATTAGTGAACATCTGAAATTCGTTTTTCGAAATTCAATGACGTTCAGAAGATATAGAAATGCTGAAATTGAATAATTAACAGCTGATAATTCCTTATATGAGTATGTGTGATCTAATCTTAGATGAATATTTACATCTAGGATGGTAAGTGCATACATATTTTAATTGTCGCCTAGGATGACTTAAAATCATCCGGCATGAAGTCTTGAATGTCTAGAAGAAATTTCGAATGGCGACCGAGCAATTGAAATAAATATCTGCAAAAAAAAGGACAATTACCAGCTGATAATTTCTTATATGACAGTGAATGATTCATTTTTGAAGTGACCATTTATATCCTACATCTTAAACGCATACATATTTTAATTATGATCTATTTTGATTGACCTCTTCTATTATAGAGTCTTGAACGTCTAAAAAAGTACAAGTTTTGTCGATAACATATTTTTTCCTCTATAGAATTGAACAAATAACAAAAAATGATTGCTAAAGAATAGCTTCTGTTTTTTTTAAACGTCTATTTCGAATAATCAGATCATCTCTGAAAAATATACGTAAAACAAATTCACATTTCACTTGACTCTTTTCTAAAGACAACTCTTTGATAAAATTTATTCATTTGAAATAGGGGTGTAATCAGAAATTTTTCAACGATGGTGCCCAATTTGTTATACAGAAGGTGAGAAGGAGAGTGCATACCAGTAGAATAAGTTTTTATTTCATGAAGAACTTTCTTATCTGTATCATTTCCACGTGTCTTTTGACCAAGAGAGATGTACATGTACCTATTGCATCCACGCCTCTGATTTGAAAACAATCTGAAGCGATTCTTTTTCTTTTGTGAAAACGAAGTGCACATAAAAAAAGAAAACTATTTTCGATTGAAACTTTTGCCTGTTTCACGAACTCATATTGGCTCATTGTTTTTTTTTTTTCTTTATTCAAGTTCAACCGCGTTATTATGAAGCAGAAAAAAGCAACAGAAATCTACGTTTAATTCTACAATGGCTTCGATCTCTAAAAACACCGAAATCGATTGGTATATATACATAGAAATACAATAATTTTATATGAGAAACTAAACGAATAATATAATTCTATTTTGTTTTAGCACAGCATGTAATCGTTTTTGAACAAGATCTTTGTCAGCTGGTCGAAAAATTAAAAGAATTTACTTTTCTGGATATTTATGGCGAAATTCATAAAGAAAAAGTTGAACCTTATCGTTTAATGGCTCAAACTCGCTTTCCTAATAGTCGAATAAATGTTGAAGTATCAAGATTTCGTCTTTGGTTGTAATTTTCTGTTTGTTATATGCAATATCATATGAAAGTTTAAAACAATTTTCATAACTAGCTGCTTGTTTTTTTTTTTCGGTTTGTCTTTCTTTAATATTATAAAATGTCAATTCTGTACTTGTGTCCAATAATCAAATATTGAAATTGCTCTCTAAATAATATT